AAATTTTATAAACTATTTGCTTTAAGAACTTAGCGTTATGTATTCCATTCCCCAGCATAGTTTATTTGCAGATCCTTTGAATTTACACCTTTTAGACATCACATGGGCATGTCATTGATGACTCCCAAGAGCCATACAATAGCAGATGGAACCACTCATGAAACTGCCCTTAACTTTTAATCTTGAAAATTAACTTGAGAACACTATGGAAGATTATTTAATTTTCAATTCGTTTATCTGCCTTTAATTATTATTTTTATGAAAAGTTTTATTAATTTATTAAATACATATTAGTTGATATATAGATATGTTAGTATATTTAGTATCAGGAGGTTAAATTTACTTAATTCTTTCTAAGATGTATTTTCTACTCTTAAATTTATTTTTCTGAAATATTTGTTCAACTTTTGCATAATGTAGATGTATTTTTAGGAAATTTTATAATTTGCTCCTCTTCCCTTCTCATCTCCCCTTCTCTTTCTCTAAAATCATTCTCTCGTTCCCCCATGCTCCCATTTTGCTCATGAGATATTGGCCCTTTCCTGTTCTCTGGGGGTCAATATATTTTACTCTTAGGATCCTCCATGTGTCTTAGCATCTCTGGCAGTGTGAATTCTAGACTTAATCCTTTGTTCTATGTCTAAAATGCAATATGAGTGAGTACATACCATGGTTGTCTTTTTGTGACAGAGTTTCCTCATTCAGGATGGTTTCTTCTAATTCTATCCATTTGCTTGTGAACTTCAAGATTCCATTGCTTTGTTCTGCTGAGTAGTACTCCACTGTGTAAATGTACCATATTTTCTTTATCCATTCTTCAGTTAAGGGGCATCTAGGTTGCTTCCAGTTTCTGGCTATTACAAATAAGGCTGTTATGAACATAATTGAATAGATTTTCTTGCTGTATGAACATTTATCTTTTGGATATATGCCTAAAAGTGGAATTGCTGTATCTTGTGGTAGACTGATTTCAATTAACCTGAGGAAAAATGAGGGAGCACTAAGATTGAATCAGAGGAAGATTAGAGGAGAGAAAACAAAGAGATACCAAAATAGAGGGAACAATTATAGGTTTAAAGAGAAATCCGGCACCAGGGAAATGTTCAGAGATCGAAAGTTGACCTCAAATAACAATCTAAGAAATAGCGGAAAGGCTACCTTAAATGCCCTTCCCTGATAATGAGATTGATGACTACCTGGTATGCCATCCTAGAGCCTTAATCTAGTAGTTGATGGAAGTAGAATCAGACACCCTCCAATAAACACTGAGCTGAACTCCTGGAATCCAGTGGCAGAGAGAGAGGTGATGGGTAAAGGGGTCAAGACCAGGCTTGAGAAACTCAAAAAAGCAGCTGATCTGAACAAGGGAGACATCATGATCCCCAGACTGATATCTCTGGAAGCCAATACAGAACTGACCAGACCCCATGAATGTGGATGTCAGTTAGGAGACCTGGGTAATCTATGGAGCCTCTAGTAGTGGAACAGTTTTTATTCTTAATAAAAATTGTCATTGGGAGCCCATTCCACAAAAGATAATAGTCTCTCAGTAACAATGTAGAATTGCTTAGCTAAAGGTAACAGTAATATTCTTCAGATAATTCATCTGCCAGCATTATTACTAAAACTCAATTGTTCTACATTTGCAATCTCAGATGCTTAAGGTGATATTAAAAAGGTTAATTCCTAATTATTTCTGTCAGCAGCTCTAGGACAGTATCAACATCATTTATTGGTAAACATGGGCATTGCCTATTGTTTAAAATGACACCTGTCAAAAAATAGGAAAAACTCATTTGTCCAATATTTTTATTTAAATTAGAAACATGCTTACTTCACATGTCAATTCCAGCTCCCTCTCCCAGTACACACTCCTTCCTTGATGCTCCACTAACCCCCTAGGTCCCAGCCCAATGCCCACACCATTCCCTAGAGAGGGTGAGGCCCTCCATGGTGGATATTTAGAGTCTGTCATTTCATCCGGGGCAGGAACTAGGCCCTCCACCATGTGTCCATTCTGAGAGATCATACATCCATATTGAATGAGCTCCCAAAGTTCAGTCATATGCCATGTAAAAAATAATCTACTACCCAAGGCGCTAGAGATTGCTGAGGCATCCTCACTGACACTACATTGTGGGCTGGATCAGTGCCCTGTTGACTTCTTAGTCATCAGTCTGGGGTCCAAGATCTTCGCCTTGTCAGGGTAGCTGTCTGTGTGCTTCACCAGCATGGTCTTAACACCTTTGCTTATTACCCCTCCCTCTCTGTCACTGGGTTCCTGAGTTCAGTTAAATGTTTAACTGTGGGTATCTGATTCTGCTTTCATCAGTTGCTGGATGAAGGTTCTAGGATGGCATATAAGGTAGTCCTCAATTGTAATATCATGGAGGGGCAATTTAGGTAGTCTCTCCATTACTGCATAGTTTGACAGTTGGTGTCATTCTTTTAGATCTCTGGAAATCGCACTGGTGTCAACTCTCTCCTCAAACCTATAATGACTACCTATATGATGCTATCTCTCATCCTTTTCTCCTCTATTCTTCCCCAGACTCAAACTTCCTGCTCTTCCAAGTCTTCCTCTCTGCTCCTCCTCTTCTCCCCTCTCTTTTTCCGGTTTTCTCTTCCCTCCCACCATGTTCCCAATATGCTCAGGAGATCTTGCCTCATTCCCCTTCTCTGGGGTATCATGCATACATATCTCTCTTGGGAACCTCCATCTTTCCCAGACTCATTGGCAATTGGAATGTAGGCTGACACTCCCCTGATGCATGTCTAAAATTCATATATGACTGAGAACATACCATGTTTGTCTTTTAGTGACTGGGTTAAGTCATTTAGGATGATTTCTTCTAATGCCATCTATTTGCCTGCAAATTTCAAGTTTCCATTGTGATAGAAAGGGAGAAATGATGAACAAAGTATTTAAGACAGGATTGGTTTAACCCACAGAATCAGTTGACAGGAAGAAGGGGTAGCTCTTGGTCCCCAGATTGAGGGATGTGTGGAAAGCATGGGACTGACCCAGCCTCCCTGATTTGTGTATCAATCAGGAGGCCTAGGTAATCTATGGGGACTACGGTAGTATTCATCCCTGATGTAGAAATAGATTTTGAGTGCCCTTCCCACAATAAGGGATGTTTTCTCTGTCTGTACTGTTGGTTGAAGGCCTAGGACCTGACCTGGATGAAATGACAGACTCTGAAGATCTACCAGGGAGGCCTCACTCTCCCTTGGGATCAGAGTACAAAATGGGTGGGGATCTTGGGGGCCTGGTGGGGAAATAGGGGAGGGTAGATAGAGGGAGTAGGGATTGACATATGAAACAAGCTTATTTCTAACATAAAAAACAATATAAAATTACAAATAAATTCTTGATTAACAAAAAAAGAAATGCATGGTGTTACAGTGTGTATGCAGTTTCATCTATTTGTACAGCCCTAAGAAATGAAATGAGGACATGTCCCTAAGTCTTAGCTGGCTTTTGTGAACCTGATGTGGTGTAGCAGTGTTTCAGGAACCTGTTTCCCATACTGGATTACCGTGCTCTGCCTTGACACAAGGGAAGGATTAGAGCCCTGCCAACTTGATTTGTCATGCTTTGTTCAAATCAATGGGAGTTCTTGCCCTTTCTTAATGAAGACAAGGGAAGAGCAGTAGGAAAATAATTGGGAAGGGAGGGGCTCAGAAGAGAGAGAGGATGGATGGAAACTATGTTGGGTATGCAAAATAAGTGAAAAAATGTTATTAAAAAAGAAATAAGGTTTATTAAGATAAAGTATATCAAAACTGGGATCCATGAATTTGTCTGAGAAAGATTTAAAAATAAATAAATACTGCTTTTAAATTTTGGTAAGAGGAGCTAGAGATTCGGTGTAGTGGTTGAAATTACTTTCTGCTCTTGCAGTGGTTGCAGACAGGTTGTTTGCACCCATATGGCCTCAGAACCAGGTAAGACAAAATCCTCTTCTGTCATCCAAAATATGAAAGACTGAAAACCAAATAGGATATATACATAGGTTTAAGTGCTCATAAAATCAAAATAAACAAATCTTTATAAATATAACACAGTCTTAAAGAGAATAATTTGCCTTCATTAGAAACTTAAGGGGAGGGTATGGTGTCGCAAGCCTTTAATCTCATCATTCAGGAGGCAATACATCAAAGGTTAAGAGGATTGGCTGTTCTTCCAGAGGATCCAGGTTTAATTCCCAGCACCGTCATGGAAGTACACAGATCTCTAACTCCACGTGCAGGGCTACTGACACATCCTCCCACAGACTTGCACGCAGGCAAGATGTATGTCAAAAGTGATAAGTTACATATTTCAAAAGATGGTAATTTGTTGTAAAACAAAAATGAACTGGAGAGGAAATTCTCTAAAGGGATAGCTTAAAAGAAGAGTAAGTATAATAAAGAAAACCTACATGAGAGGGGTGGTATATAAGCTGATGTTCAAAGAAAGGAAACTTCATAGAAAAAGTCCAAACTTGATATCAGGGTTTTATGCACTGTGAGTTGTTGAGAGGAAGTTCTAGGTCATATGATTTAAAATAAGATGGAATTTGTGGTAAAGACCACTGAAAGTCAGGTTTGGTCTTAAATTCACTTGGAATTTTAAAACCACAGTATCACATGTACTGTTAATTCTATTCAAGAGGATGTGAGGTATCTCAGTTTTATTTAAAGATGAGCATCAAGCTTCTTAAGACCTGCTTGAAGCTTAAAGTTATAGGTGAAAATTCTTATCCCACCTGATACTGCAACTCAAAAAAAAACAGATTTGAGAAACACTAACATGAAGAAAATCATGATCATTCTTTTTATATCTGTACTGCTAGGACTAAGACAAAATAAAGACAATTCCAAGTAAATGACCCCTACTAAACTTTCCCATCCATGCTTCCTTGTGAACTTCAAAATCTGTGTGTACCATAAAATTCCATTAGATCATAGACATGCTTCAGAATCCTCTGTAACTGCTCAACTGAGTGATTCATATTAAGAGTTCTAGAACATGACTTGTAGTACTATTGACAATGGTAACTTACAATACCATCAGACAATTAGATGCATATGGTGAGTGAAATTTATTTCAAGTCCACTACTATGGATCATCTGTTTAAATACAAATTGTAATTGTATAATTATGCCTGGTCAATAGAAATTTAGGAGATTTTCTGCATGTTTAACACCCTGATTTGCCCCACAATGATGGTGACTCTGTCATGAGGGATGTAGAGAAGCAGGATGAAACTAGATCATATGGAGAGGGTTAAATAAAGAAGTTAAACTGAAAAACTGTAAAGATGACTATAATTTTGGTTGTTTATTTCTTGTTGCATTCATTAATCATCTTCAGACTAATTCAATACTCGGCAAATATTTCTTTATGATGACATATGATAAATAAAGAAACGAATAGATTGTCATGATGCTTATAACAAGTGACTATAGAGTATTCAACCACAGGCAAAACTGCATGTCACCCACTCAAAAACATGGGAAATCTTAAGAATGTTATTCATAAAAATTTAAGAGCCAGACAATACGAAGATAGGCTTTGAAATGCTTTCTTTTTTGTTTGTTTTGTTTTTAAAAACTGTGTTTCTCTGTTTAACAGCCCTAACTGCCCTGGCACTAGCTTTGTGGACGAGGCTGCCCACCAACTCTCAGGGCTCACCTGCTTCTGCCTCCAGAATGCTGGGATTAATGGTGTGTGTCATCACTGCCAAGCATTTTTAAACATTTTTAAAACAATCTTATTTCAAATAGCAATCCTAGTTCCCCCTTCCTCCAGTCCTCCTGTTTATGCCACCTTCTCACAACCCTACCCCAATCCACTCCTCAGAAATTATAAGCCTTCCAAGGGGGAACTAACAATGTTGTCACATCACATTTGGCAGGACCAAGGCTTTCCCCGTGTATCTAAGCTGACTAAGGTGTCCTTACCTGGGGAATAGTATACAAAAAGCAAGTTCATACACTAGGGATAAATACTAGTTTTACTGCTAGTGGTCCCACAAAATGCCCAAGCCACATAACTGTCACCCACTTACAGAGAGCCTACTTTGGTCTTATGCAGGTTCCCCAGCTTGGAGTCCAGGAACAGTGAGCTACCATTTGCTTGAGCCCGCTGTTTCTGCCAGTTTCCCCAACATGGTCTTGACACCTGTGCTCATATTATCACTCCTCCCTCTCCACAACTGGGCTCCAGGTGTTCCACCCAGTTCTTAGTTCTGTGTCTGCTTCCATCACTTACTAAATGAAGGTTCTATGATGAAAAATATGGTAGTCATCAATCTGATTACAGGGTAAGGACAGTTAAGGTACCATCACCACTATTGCTTAGATTATTAGCTGGGGTCATCCTTGTGGATTCCTAGGAATTTCCCTCGTACCAGGTTTCTCACTAACCCCATAATAGCTCCCTCTATCAATATATCTCTTTTCTTGCTCTCACTCTCTCTCTCTCCTTCAGTAACCTAGACATACTGGATCCCTCACATTTTCCTCTCCCTTCTCCTTCTGACCTCCCCACACCAGTACTACTTACACTACAGCATTTGGGTTTCACAGTTTTTGTTTTTCAAGCACACTAATAATTACACTGTAGGTTCTCATGTGGTCTATTACAAATCTCTCCAGCAGAGGGCAATACTAATATGTGTTTCCTTTTTATAGGTCACAACTGAAAAACAAGGACTATAAACAAGAAGTTCTCAGGAACTTGATCAACTTAAGCATCCACCAATGTCTTCAGACCTTTGGTAACATCTGTAAGCTTGGTCAGAGCACATGGCCTCTGAGAGATGATGATCCTGAAAATTCAATGCATTTAGAGGGGTGAAATCTCCCAAATGCTCACTCAAGTTTACAACAATAGCATTGGCTGAGGAAGATCAAATCCCAATGTCCTATTAAAATCAACATGGCAAAATCACTATTTCTGTGTCCTTAAGTTTCAAAAATGAGGGTTTAGCAGTGTGTCACATTTGAGGAAATATATGCAGAACACAAGTTGTCATAACTCACATGTTTTGATAGGTTTTATGTGCTCAGGGACATATGATTAAACTGGAATGTATGAGGAAAGCCTTAGTTGAACAGCTGCAATTAGTTGAAAAAAGGCAATTTAACATCTGAAGACTGAGGTTTTCTGATGTACATTAATGTCATGGTTAGCTGATCTTTATCACAGAAAAATAAAAACCACACACTATAAATTGGATCCTGTCATCCATGTGTGTCAAATTAAGCCTAGCTATGAAGAAACATGTGCAGAATTATCTGAACAGGGAGTATGAAACATTGTAGAGGAAAAAAGTAAATCAAGAGCTTTGTATCTTTACCAACTTATATACTGCAAATAAGTAAAAGGACACTTGTTTATGAGACAAGACCCTCCTAGCATACATTCTAGTTTTTGCATCTCTAGTCAACAGAAAACACAGATGGCTCATATTTGATTTTGAGAGAATGAACTTTAGAAAGAGAATTTTGTGGTTAGAGACAGAAACTAGACAGCAAAATAGGTTTGAAAGCAAGCTGTCAACTTGTTGTTACTTATTGTCATTGGTGGGAAACAGCCAAGGCTCCAGGCCAAAACACAGCATTCTTTTCCTCATTGATGTTTTAGTTTAAATGAAATGCTTTTCCTTAATTCCTTCTTTATTACTTTTCTCCTTCTTCTCTATTATTTCTTCATTGTCTGCTGTCTTTTTGTTTTCTTTTTGTTAGTTTTATTTATTTATTTATTTTTCAGTTTAAATTTAGATTAGAAACAAGTTTGCTTCACAAGTCGGTTCCAGGTCCATCTCCCTTTCCCTCCCTTCCTCCCGTGCCCTCCCCCAAAACCCCCCATTATCATCTCATTTCCCCAGGGAGGTTGAGGCCCTCCATGGGGGTGTCCATAGTCTGTCATTTCATACAGGGCAGGGCCTAGAACCTCCCCCATGAGTTCAGGGTGAGCGTGCATCTCACATTGTTGGGTGGGAGTCCAAGGTCTGTTAGTACACTAGGGATGAGTACTGATCTACTGCCCAAGGCTCCATAGATTTCCTAGGCCTCCTCATTGACACCCACATTCAGGGGGTCTTGATCAGTGCCATGCTGGATACCCAGGCTAATGCCTGAGATTTAAGAGTTAACCTTTGTCAGGTCAGCTGTTTCTGGGGGTTAAACCAGCCCAGTCTAAATCCCTTTGGTCATCAGTCCTCCCTTTCTGTTACTGGCTTTCTTGAATTCAGCTCAGTACTTCACCATGGGAGTCTGCCTCTTCTTCCATCACCCACTGAATGAAGTTTCTGTTTCCCAGAATCTCTGCCCATGGGATTGTAGGCTGGCACGCCCCAGATCTATGTCTAAAATACATATATGATAGAATACATGCCATGTTTCCCTTTTTGTGACTGCGTTACCTCACTCAGGATGGTTTCTTCTAATGTCATCCATTTGCCTGCAGGATTCCATTGTTTTTTCTGCTGATTAGTACTCCATTGTGTAAATGTACCACATTTTCTCTATCCACCCTTCAGTTGAGGGAAATCTAGGTTGCTTCCAAGTTCTGGCTATTACAAATAATGCTGCTATGAACATAGTGGAACAGACATCCTTGTTGTATGAATGGGCATCTTTTGGACATATCCCTAAGAGTGGAGTTGCTGTGTCTTGTGGTAGGTTTATTGCCATGTTTCTGAGGAATCTCCATACTGATTTCCAAAGTGGCTGAACGGGTTGGCACTCCCACCACCAACAGAGGAGTGTTCCCCTTTCACCACATCCTCTCCAGCATAAATTGTCATTGGTGTTTTTGATTTTAGCCATTCTGACAGGAGTAAGATGGTATCTCAGAGTTGTTTTGATTTGCATTTCCCGGATGGCTAAGGATGTTGAGCACTTTCTCAAGTGCCTCTGAGCCATTTTTGTTTTGACTCCTCTATTGAAAATTCTCTATTTGAGTCTGCAGCCCACTTTTTAATTGGATCCTTTGGTGTTTTGGAGACTTGCTTCTTGAGTTCTTTGTAAATTTTGGAGATCAACTGTCTGTCAGATGTGGGATTAGTGACTATTTTTCCCATTCTGTGTACTGCGTTTTTGTCTTGCTGACTGTGTTCTTGGCCTTATAGAAGCTTCTCAGTTTCAGGAGGTCCCATTTACTAATTGTTGATCTCACTGTCTGTGCTAATGTTGTTATGTTCAGGAAGCTCTCTCCTGTACCAATGCGTTCAAGGGTACCACCCAATTTCTCTTCTAAGGGGTTCAGTATGGCTGGATTTATGTTGAGGTCTTTGATCCATTTGGACTTAAGTTTTGTGCATGGTGATAAACATGGATCGATTCACATTCTTCTACATGCCAGCCTCCAGTTATGCCAGCACCATTTGTTGAAGATGCTTTCTTTATTCCATTGTATATTTTTAGCTTCTTTGTCAAAGATCAGATGGTCATACATGTGTGTGTTAATATCGGGGTTTTCAGTTCGATTCCATTGGTCTACCTGTCTATGTTTGTGCCAATACCAAGCTGTTTTCAGGACTATAGCTCTATAATAAAGCTTGAGGTCAGGAATGGTGATGCCACCGGATGTTGCCTTGTTGAACAGGGTTGTTGTGGCTATCCTGGATCTTTTGTTTTTCCATACAAAATTGATTATTGTTCTTTCAAGGTCTGTGAAGAATTGTGCTGGGATTTATAATGGAGATTGCATTGAATCTGTAGATTGCTTTTGGCAGGATTGCCATTTTTACTACATTGATCTTACCTATCCAAGAGCATGGGAGATCTTTCCATTTTCTGAGGGCTTTTTTAATTTCTTTCTTTAAATATTTAAAGTTCTTGTGATACAGGACTTTCACTTGTTTGATTAGAGTTAGCCCAAGGTATTTTATGTTGTTTGTGTCAATTGTAAAGGGTGATGTTTCTCTGATTTCTTTTTCAGCTCTTTTATCATCTGCATGTTGTACGGCTACTGATTTTCTTGAGTTGATCTTATAGCCTGCCACTCTGCTGAAGGTGTTAATCAGATGTAAGAGTTCCCTGGTAGTGTTATTTGGTTCATTGATGTAGACTATCATATCATCTGCAAACAGTGAAAGTTTGACCTCTTCTTTCCCAATTTGTATCTCCTTGATCCCCCTTTGTTGTCGTATGGCAATGGCTAGAACTTCAAGTAACATGTTGAAAAGATATGGAGAGGGTGCACCACCTTGTTTTGTTCCTGACATTAGAGGAATTATATTGAGTTTCTGTCCATTTAGTTTGATGTTGGCTGTTGGTTTACTGTATGTAAGTTTTATTATGTTTAAGTAAGTCCCTGTTATCCCAGATCTCTCCAAGACCTTTATCATTGAAGGGGTGTTGGATTTTGTCAAAGGCTTTTTCAGCATCTAGTGAGATCATCATGTGATTTTTGTTTTTCAGCTTTTTTACATGGTGGTTTACATTGATGGATTTTCATATGTTGAACCATCCCTGCATCCCTGGGATGCAATGTTGATCGTGGTGATTGATTGTTTTGATGTGTTCTAGGATCCGATTTGCCAGGACTTTATTGAGTATTTTTGCATCAATGTTCTTGAGGGATATTGGTCTGAAGTTCTCTTTCTTAGTTGTGTCTTTGTGTGGCTTGGGGATCAAGGTTATTGAAGCCTCATAGAAAGAGTTTGGCAAAAACTCTTCTGCTTCTATTTTGTGGAATACTTTGAGAAGAATTGGTATAAGCTGTTCTTTGAATTTCTGGTAGAATTCTGCAATGAGGTCATCTGGACCTGGACTTTTTTTATTTGGGAGACTTTTGATGACTGCTTCTATTTCCATAGGGGTTATAGGTCTATTTAAATTGCTTATATGTTCTTCATTTAGTTTTGGCAAGTGATAGCTCTCCAGACAGTCATCCATTTCCTTTAAATTTTCGAATTTTGTGGAGTACAGGTTTTCAAAGTATGACCTAATGATTCTCTGGATTTCCTCAGAGTCTGTTGTTATTTCCCCCTTTTCATTTCTGATTTTGTTAATTTGCATATTCACTCTCTGCTATTTGGTAAGTTTGGACTAAGGTTTGTCTATCTTGTTGATTTTCTCAAAGAACCAACTCTTAATTGCATTGATTCTTTGTTTTGTTTTCCTAGTTTGTACTTTATTGTTTTCAGCTCTCAATTTGATTATTTCCTGGCATCTACTCCTCCTTGGGGGTTTGCTTCTTTGTGTTCTAGAGCTTTCAGGTGTGCTGTTAACTCTCTAGTATAACTATTCTCCAGTTTCTTCATGTGGGCACTTAGTGCTATGAACTTCCCTCATAGCACTGCTTCCAAAGTGTCCCATAGGTTTGGGTATGTTGTGTCTTCATTCTCATTGAATTCAAGCAAGTCTTTAATTTCTTTTTTTTTATTTCTTCTTTGACCCAGGAATGGTGCAATTGAGCATTATTCAATTTCCATGATTTTACAGGTTTTCTGCAATTTGTGTTGTTGTTGAATTCTAATTTTAAAGCATGGTGGATTGGTAAATTGCATGGAGTTATTCCAAATTTTTTGTAGCTCCTGAGGTTTTATATGTTGCCAAGTATGTGGTCGATTTTTGAGAAGGTTCCATGTGGTGATGAGAAGAAGGTATATTCTTTTTTATGTGGATTGTTTTTTAATATGAAGGTTTTTAGGGAATGAATCACATTCACATTAGTTCTGATGGTTGCTTTACTTTGTTCTCTTGCATTGCTCTCTATTCTCTCATGCCTTTCCTCTTTTTTGTTTTTCATAGCGATATATACCCAATAGACTCTTTCATGCTAAATATAGAGCTAAATTTTAAGTCCACATTAAATAAATGTCACGTAACAGAGCCATAGTGACAGTTCATTTGCAAAAAGTCTGAATTTCTAATTGGTGGGCTTTAATCTCAAAGCTGTACCTTCAAAGATAGAACCAGTTATTTTTATTTACCTAGA